GCTTTGGGCCTGTTGCCACTGGGACCGGTCCTTGGAGAATCCTGCTCGAAGCGGGGATGGTCAGTGCGAGAAGAGTCTGGACAAGGGGTTGACACTGTCTGTGGATATGGGGTCAGGCATGTAGGTGAGGTTGGCTCAGGATAAGGCAGGTCCAGAGCCATTGTTCAGAGGGTCGCTCGAGTCGTAGCTGGCTCAATGTCATGTGATAACAGCCCAACACCTGGGTGCCTGAGAGCAGGGACAGCAGCCCGAGGTGGACTTACAGGTTCTAGGATCTGTCATCGTCAACTGGTGAAGATGATGGTGATGATAGCAAGTGCACGCCAGATGCCATTCTAGACATGTGAATGTCAAGTTGGCTCGTCCTGACAGCCCCTGGGGATGTCACTCTATGGACGGGGCTGTGGAATCCCAGCCCCTGCTCCTGTGATGTGATCTGACAGGAAATAGGATGTTCTTGGCTTGTGAACAATAGCATCTCATTGAGGGGTGTCTCCTGGAACAGGTGCACACACACTGGACAAGACAGATTCCACATGAGGGACCCCAAGAAGCAAGGGGTGCCCAGAGCTCAACAGGAGAAGCCGGCCTGCCCAGACCCTGCTGCTTCCGGCTGGCCTGCAGCACTGAGAAACAGTGCCCTCTCCAGGGACAGAGTCCACACACCGGGCTTACACGGCCTTTGTGTCAGCTCTTTGCTCCAAGGTCCCTAGACAGCGCTGAGCCCCGGGAACAGGGGCTTCTCCTCGGCAGAGCTTACTCAGAAACTGCATCCCAGAAGTCCCGATGGAACGAAGCTGGGAGCTGGGAAGACTGTGTCAGGGACAGGAAGAGAACTTAGGGGGCCCTGCGCTCCAGGGGAATCCTGACTCCATTTCCCGCGCCCTAAAATAGTGACGTTGTGGAGAAGGAAGTGGTCCGTCCAGCGGGCAGGGAGTGGACGTTACACCAGTGCCTGTTTCTGAGCTGCTCGGCCCTCACTCTCCGCGGTTCCCCTGATGGCAGGGTGGAACGCCGACCGTTCCTGCACCTCCTTCACCATCACTGAATGCTCCCACCCGCTGCTGTATATTGAGGCCCTCCAGTCTTGGGCCAGGCTGCCCGCAGAGGCCCAGTGCTCTGTCGCCATCTGGAGGGCTCGGCTGGCTGTGGGCTAGCTTTCACAAGCCGATTACAGGCCTCTCTTCTTCGTCAGACAGGCCACCTAGTCACCGAACCTCACCATCTTATTCTGGACGCTCCTCTGACCCTGTCTGCCGTGGATCAGCCCCTTCTGGTATTTGAAATACCGGTGGATGGTGCTCCAGCCACGTGTAACCTCCCACGGGGTGGTGAGCTGACCCTGGTAAAGTGACTGCATCCGTCTGGTTCAAGAGAGGTGAGTTCTGCCGGATCAAAGTCCAGCCCCCATGGCCAGACCTGGAAGAGACACCACGGCATCCTGATGCTCCAGGAGATGCGCACGGCCTCCGAGGAGATGGGAGCCACAGGACAGTGAGTGTGTGCGGTCCCCAGGAGGGGAGGATGGGGGCACAGCTTGGAGAGCGCCCTCAGCGTCACTGAGTTCTACAGGGAGAAACTGTGGGTCGCTGTGTGGTGGTCTCTGCATAGTCTCAATGACAGCAAGAAACGAAGTACAACATGAACAAAATAATCAGAAGCAAGAAAAGAAGTAAACGATTAACAAAATAATCAGAGAATAGGACTACTAAGAGGACCCAGCATCAGCTGAGGGGATTCTCTAGCCAGTGAGCAGAAGTGACTAAGACAAGAGACTGTTCTGATTGTTATCACCACCCGTTTGTGGTATTTCTGTTACAGCAGCATTGTACCACCATCATTCAAACGTATGCACCAACAGCTACAGCCAGAGAGGAGGAAATAGAAGACTTCCACCGGCCTTTGATGTTGGAAGTCGATCGAACATGCAATCAAAATGCATTAATAATAGTGGGTGACTAGAATGCAAAAGTTGGAAACAGGAAAAGGATCAGTAGTTGGAAAACATGGACTCAGTGACAGAAGTGAAGCTGGAGACAGAATGATAGAATTCCGTACAATCAATGACCTATTCAATGAAAATACTTATTATAAGAAACATAAATGCAGGCTGTACACATGGATTTCACCTGATGGTATGCATAGGAATCAGATTGACTGTATCTGTGGGAAGAATCGCTGGAGAAGCTCAATATCAGCTCTGAAAACCAGGCCAGGTGCTGCTTGTGGAACAGACCATCAACTACTCATATGCAAGTTCAAGGTGAAATTGAAGACAAATCCACAAGAATCAAAAGCTTAATCATGAGTCTGTCCCACTCAAATTTCAAAACCATCTCAGGAACAGGTTTAAGGTCTTGAGCACCAATGAGCAAAGACCAGATGAGCTGTGGGAGGATATCAAGAATATCATCCATGAAGAATGCAAAAGATCATTACAAAGACAGAGGAAGAAGAAAAGATCAAGATGGATGTCAGAAGACAAGCTAAATATTGCACCAGAGTGCCGAGAAGTCAAAGCGAAGGGAAGAAATTAAGGAGTTGAACAGAAGATTTCAAAGGGCAGCTCAGGAAGACAAAGCAAAATATTATAATGAAATGTACAAAGAGCTGGAGTCAGAAAATCAGAAGGGCCAAACTCATTCAGTATTTCTAAAGCTAAAGGAATTGAAGGACAAATTCAAACCTCAAGTTGCAATGTTTAAGGATGCTTTAGGCAGAATATTAAATGATCCAGGAAGCATTAAAAGAAGATGGAGTCACTGTACCAGAAGAAATTGGCTGACACAGAAGAATTTCATGAAACAACATACGAGCAAGAGCCTGTGGTGATGAATGAAGAAGTTTAAGCTACTCTGAAAGAATTGGCCAAAAACAAGACCCCAGGAATTGACAGCACACCAATTGACATATTTCCACAAACAAGACACTGCCCCGGATGTGCTCAGAGTTGTTCCAAGAAATCTGGAGCACAACCACCTGGCCAAATGACTGGAAGAGAGCTATATTTGTTCCCATTCCGAAGAAAGGTGACCCAACAGTGTGAAAAATATCGAACAATATCATTAATATCTAATGCAAGCAAGACTCTGCTGAAAATTATTGGAAAAACAACTGGCACTGCCAGATATGCAGGCTGGGTTTAGACGAGGTCATGGTATTAGTCATATTACAGCTAATTTTAGATGGATCTTGGCTGAAAACAGAGAGTGCCAGATGAATGTCTATCTGTGTCTCATGGCCTAGGCAAAAGCATTTGACTGTGTGGTTCACAACAAACTGTGGCTGACTCTGAGAAGAATTGGAATCCCAGAACACTGGATTGTGCTAATGCAAAATCTATACTTGGACCAGGAGACAGTCGTCAGAACAGAGCATGAAAACACTGCATGGTTTGAAAATCAGGAAGGGTGTATGCCAGGAATGTGTCCTATCTCCATTCCTTTTGCATCTATATGCAGAACAGGTCATCCGGGAGGCTGGGCTCTATGAGGAAGAATGTGGCATCAGGATTGAAAGAAGACTCATCAACATCCTGTGTTATGACACAACCCTGCTTGCTGAAACTTAGGAGGACCTGAAGCACTTGTTGCAGAAGGTCAAGGACTAGCCTTCAATAGGGGTTGAAGTTCAACATCAAGAAGACACAGATTCTCACCACTGGGCTGATTAGCAGCATCATGACGGATGGTGAAGAGACTGAGATTCTTAATAGCTTTGGTTTGCTAGGCTCCCACAGTCAGCACTCTTGGCACCAGCAACCAGGAAATCAAAAGACAAATTGCATTGGGAAAGTCTGCTATCAGGGACCTCTCCAGAGCAAAGATGTCAGTCTGGAGACGAAGGTGCACCTGATCCAGGCCATGGTCTTTGCAGTTATGTGTTATGCATCAGAAAGCTGGACAATGACTAGGAATGATTGAATTTATGCCTTTGACCTGTGGTGCTGGAAAAGAGTATGGAATATACCATGGATTGCTAAGAGAACAAACAGGTTTGTCCTGGAGAGGGTGAAGCCTTGCTGCTCTTTGGAGGCAAGGTTTCTGAAGCACCATCTGATATACTTTGAGCATGTTGCAAGGAGAGACCAGTCCTTGGAGAGGGACATCATGCTTGGGAGGGTGGAGGAACAGTGCAAGAGAAGAAGACCCTCGATGAGATGGATTGACTTAGTGACTGGGGTAATGGGGATCGGTGTGTCAGAGACAGTGAGTTTGGCTCAGGATAGAGCAGGGTTCAGAGCTGTTGTACGTAGGGTTGCTGTGAGTCGCAGGTGCCTTGATGGCACATAACAACCACAACAACGTTTCACACTAGCAGTGAAGTGCTGCTCTGACAGACACCAAAGCTGTAGACATGGCTGTTTCACTTTGATCATGAGTAGAAGCTGTAATCTTCAAAGTGCCCAACGGTGAGATTATGCCAGCACTCCAGTGGAGGAGGGGAGCGGTCTCGTGTGCAGTTTACAGCCTCAGGCACCCGGGGGGAGGGTCCGCAGTGAGTTAGCTCCGCTCAGTGAACAGTGAAAGCCCACATTGTCCCTGGTGGCCTTGTGGTAAGGCGTTACCCTGGCATCCTGAAGGTGTGCAGTTCAAAGCCACCAGCTGCTCCGTGGGAGTATGGGCAGGCCCCTCCCATGCTATTTGCTGCCTCTGAAAACGTGCTGGAGGCTCAACTAGGGGTCAGTTCCAACTCAATGGTGCAAACAATAGATTGCCTTGGAGAGGCTGTTAGTGGAAGTATGAATGTCAAGACCAAGGCTGGTGAAGACTCAGAAGTTAGGCGGCCCGTCGATAAAGCGTCGTCTTGAAGAACACACATGGTGCCAGCACCAGAACGCTGCTAGAAATATGAGCGTTAAAGTGAAAGAATTTTTCTTTTACTTTTCTAAGAGGGTAGTGTACTAGGGGGGAGGGTTGGGAGGGGAGAAAAGTGGAAAAATGAATGGAAATCCAAAAAAATTATAATAATCTTGGCAGTAGCTTTCAGTTTAATAAAGTAACTTTTGAAACTTTAAAAAAAAAAAAAAGAAAGACAGGTCCTTGACAATAGACTTGCTAAATGCATTATGTCCTCTGACACTGCTGGTACCATGTAAAAATGTCAGCTAGGCTAAGGTTGGAATGGAACTCACTAGCATGTCACCATATTATATACCGTATTTCCTCAGTCAATAAGTCTTCTCCTAAATAAACTTGTAACTAACAACCTTGGGGGGGGAAGTGAGCGTTAAATGTGCTTCTGTGAGGCTTTGAAAGGAAGAGTTGAGCATGGGACTGGACAGTGGAGGAAGGGCATGCATCTCGTGCAGTGGCAGAGAACTCGCGTGCACTTTGTTCAAATGCTTGGTGACAGGCAGAACTTACTTCCTGCACCTCCAGCAGATAGGAATGCTAGCGTTCCCCACTGGTGCACAAGAGTGGGTACCCACAGTTCTCGCTCGCAGTGATAAACAGTCCAGTGTCACTGCACAGAGGGGCTCCGTCCGTGGTCACACGGTCACGCGTCGTCACACCAAGCCCAGACAGAAGCTGCATGCCCCTGTGCCTGTCTCATGCTCTGCGTTTAACTGGTCAGTGGGAGAGGGACGACGTGAAGGCACACGCTGGGCTTTGGAGCCTTTTCAAGCAGAGTGGTCAACATGGAAAGGATTGTTTTTAAGCAGGAAGAGCGACCATGCCTTCTCTGCATCGCTTGCTGACGTAGATGTCCCGCGAGAGCTTCCTTCAGATGCCGTCATGCCCACCCCCTAGCTTCACTGGGACAGCTGTCCCGGGACAGGTGAGGGCAGGGACTCTGCAGACACGCGAGGTCCCTCTCACCTTTGTGCGCTCTGTTTCAGATAATCGACAAGAGCAAGAGGGACCCTTCAGAGGAGATTGAGATCCTGCTGAGATACGGGCAACACCCTAACATCATCACCCTCAAAGACGTGAGTGCAGCCCCCACTCTTCCTCCTGGAACCCCGACTTACGGGCTGTCCCCACCTCCTCTGCCCCACAGCATGGACGGCCATGTCCCCTCACTGATCACCCCCTACACCCCTAAACCACAAGATCATAAGATGAAAGAGCACAGGGTTTGTGTGAGCGGTTGTGTCCACCACTCCTGATTCACCAGCAGACCTCGCCTCAGGCTGGGGCTTTGACTTCTGTTTGGGTGACCAGTGGTCATTCTCCCTGGGCTGAGGGGCTTGGAGTTGTGAAGGGGGAAGAAGGGGCTCACCTCCTCTCCCTCACCCTCTGTTCCCAGCAGGGTTCTCAAGAGAATCATGAGTAGGAATAATTATGCATGCATGTGCACACACGTGTGTGCGTAGGAACCCTGACGGCCTAGCAGGTAGGTGCCCAGCTGCTGACCACCTGACCGCTTTGCTGAGAAAGGGTCTGGTGGTCTGCTGCCGTGAGGATTGTTGTTGGGAGCCGTCAGGCCAGGTCCAGCTCACAGTGACCCACGCACCGCAGCCCTGCACCACCCCGGCGTCCTTGTAGCGCGTGCCCCATTGCTGCGGTCCTGGTGTGAATCCGTCTCACCGAGGTCTTCTTCTCTTTCACTGGCCCTCTTTTCCTAGCATGATGTCCTTCTCAGGGACAGGCCCCTCCTGGCAACTTGTCCAAAGTCTGCCCGATGGAATCTCACCCTCCCTGCCTCTGGGCAGCAGGCATACTGCACTTTTGCTTATTCCTGAACCAGCATGTTCCACATTCTTCACTTACATCCCAATTCAAAGGCCTAACGTGATGAAATGTTAACCAGTTCTCTTTCGCCTGGTGACCAGGTGTATTCCTTCCACCTTCTTTGGATGCTGCCAACGAAGTTCAATATTAGCCCGTAGAGCCCTTCAGTGTTGCAGCTTGAGGCTTTGTTTTTGCTTTGTTTCTGTTCAGAGTAAATCAGCCTTCCATTCAACAGCTCACACCCGTTTTGTTCTGTGCCGTTGGTTGCAATCTCACTGATGAGACAGCACTCTACTGCATCCCTCTCTGGGTTTCCTGCTTCCTCGCAGCTTTCTTCCGCCCCCGCCTGCCTTCTGAGAGTTGTGTTTGGGCTGCACCGTGTGGTCTTGTCGGGGTGTCTGTCCTGAGAAGCACGTTCCTCCTTGGTGGTGTGTTCTCTTTAAAAACTCTTGTTTGGATAAAGACTACTCCCTGGGGACAAGGCTTCTTTGTTCTTTACAGCTTGAGAAGGCTGGGTGTGTTCCTCCCTTCCATTTTCTAACTTCATGTTTCCTGAGGTGACTGGCTGTGTCTCCTCGAGCCTGTTTCATGTGGCGACTGACTTGAAGTGTCTCCTTAGACCGGTTTCGTAGGGTGACTAGCTGTGTGTCCTCAGGCCTATGACGTGACTGGGTGTGGTGTGTCCCCTCGGGCCTGTTTGATTGTAACTGGCTGTGTGTCCTCAGGCCTATTTCGTGATATGACTGGGTGTGTCCCCTGGGCCTGTTCCTGTGGTCGCTGGCCTTGTCTTCTCTGGCTGCCCTTGGGAATCTGCTCATTCTCCCTCCTGCTTCAGCTTCTCTCCATTCGAGAGCCCGTTTCAGAGTCTCTTCCCGTCCTGCCTTTCTCTCCTGTTTTTGGCATGACCCTTTTGTTTTCTTTATGTGTAATATCCTTGAGATCACCCCACAGCTCCACGGGTCAGTCATCACGTTTGATGCGTCCACTCTGTGCTTGAGACAGTGTCTGTGACCCCAGGCAGCCCGTGCAGACTGACCGTCCGGAGCCTCTCCGCACAGCCTCACCCAGTCACGTGACACCCGTGTATTCCATCCAGTGAGGGCCAGTCACCATTCGTGCCGCTCGGAAAGGACTAGGACATGACAAGTGCATTTAAAAGTCCATCGTGTGACCGCCAGCTCTGTTTTATCACCAAGAGCACGTTTTCCAGTTACTGCTCATCTTCTTTGTTCCCCAATTTTATTTTATTTTTAATATTTGGATCAATTTCAGAAGTTAGATCAATAGCTGATCAATTTCAAATCCCCAGTGTCTTCATCTCCGGCTTAGTTGCTGCATAACTTTGGATGATATTTATGTTTTCAGATCCTCGTGTGTGGAACTGCGCTGTCCCTGCACACACGTCCTCCATGTAGACCTCCCCTCTTTGGTTAAGCTCACTGTTGTAGACGATGTTGATAGTTTGTTCTGAAGCCCCACTGATTTGTGAGTTAATCCATGTGTTCAGTCACATTTTGCTGCATTTTACATCAAGCATTTCTGGGACTTGCACAGCCCCTGGTTCACGTTGGGGTTGGGGTATCTGTGGCTCCTACCACCTGCTGGTGTGAACTGCTCCTTCCTGGGTCCTGAGCGTGCCATCAGCCTGGAGGTGGGAGACAGCGCTCACTGGGGCCAGCTCACCCGGCAGAGTGAGAAGCAGCTGCTCTCAGAGGTCCTGCCTGGACGCTGCCTCAGTGTCCTCAATTCTGACATAAACCAGCTCAGCCTTACAGGCCGGGCCGCATCTGGAGAAGTTGACAATGAGTGAAAAGTGGCCCAGTGCTGGCTCGCTCATTCCGGCTTGTCCAGCCATCCAGGTGGCCATCCCTGTCACAACGGATCAAAAAGCTGTCTGGGGCCCTATCGTCTCCTCCGCCGTGGATAGCTGTGGCCCACGGGGTTTCATTGGCCCGTTTGCAGATGCCACCTGTCCAGCACCCCTGAGTAGCCATGGTCAGAGCCACTGTGGAGTGGCTGGCTCGCCCACCTCATCATGTCTGGGTGTCTGCCGCCTTCCCCGGAGCACAGTCACACACAGACACAGACACACAGACACACATGCACCCGAGTTCCCACCTTAGAGTTAGACTCACACACACAGACACATACACACACACAAGTTCCCACCTTAGATGGGGCTACTAGGGACGCACCTGCCTGTGTTCTGATCAGTCAGCAGTAACACATATGGGTTTGAGCTGTGGACCACCCCCCACAGGGCTGTCACAACAGGAGGCACCTGCCCTGCGTAGGGACAGTGCAGCGACACTCGTGTGTGTGAGCACTGTGTCCTCCAACAGACCTGTGACATCAGGACCCCTGCCCTGCCTAGGTGGGGGCACTCCTTGATCTGAGCTGTGTGTCCCTACCAGCCTATGACAGCAGGGACCCTGCGCCCCCAGGGGGACACACGTGTGTCTGAGCCACGCCTCCCCCACAGGTCTACGATGATGGGAAGTACGTGTACCTGGTGATGGAGCTGATGCGAGGCGGTGAACTCCTGGACCGCATCCTCCGTCAGCGCTGCTTCTCTGAGCGTGAGGCCAGCGATGTGCTGTGCACCATCACCAAGACCATGGACTATCTGCACTCCCAGGGGGTAAGCCGGTGGCCATCTGTGCAGGGCCTGGGTCCCTCCCAAACGCGTCCCTTCCCAGCCCTCCTTCTGCCTGTCCCAGCCGTGTCACCTGTCCATCTGGGGGTTCATGCACTGGGGTGTGGATCCCTCCCAGCCGTGCCTTTTTACCCGGGTTGTGTGCCCTCGGCATGAGGTGTAGACTCCTCCCAGCTATGCCCCTTTACCCTGGCTGCATGCCCTCCTCAGGGTCTTCAGACCCTCCTGTTCAGGTGTGTGCAGGAGACCAGTAGAGAAATACGATTCCCATGCACCTGTTTGCAGCAAGTACTCTGACGCCTTGAAGGGGAGCATGGAGCTCCCAGTCCTTTGCCAGATCTAACATTGAAGTCAGTAGCCGATGCCAAGAAATGGCTGTGGATTAAAGCAAATGCCCACCCGGCCTCACTTGTTCCAGGCACAATCCCAGCGCCGCGCTGACCCATTTCACAGATGGAGAGACCACAGCGCAGGGAAGTTAGGGGCTGTCCAGGGACCGAGCACCACATGCGCTTGGCCTCACTGCTCTCCTGTCCTTCCCGTCTTCCTGGCTGAAGGTCTGTGACCACCAGTCACCCTGCACGTCTGTCGGGGACACTTGTCCAGCGGCACGTGTCCACTTGAAGCATCTGTGACACTCATTCTCTCAGGATTTCTGTTACACATGGAACAGACCACAAAATCCACTGCTGTCAGGTTGGCCCGACTCAGAGAATGACCCTTCGCCAGGGGTGTAGATATTCACTGGAGGACACTGGCCATCATTCTTCAGAGTGCTGGTGGACTTGAACCACTGACCTTGTTAGCAGCACCCCACCCCACCAGAGCGCCTCTTAATAGATGTTGTTGTGTACCGTTGAGTCGAAATGGATCCACAGCTGACCAGCAGGTGTGCAGAGGCCGTAAATCACACGGGAAAGAGTGTGCGTCTTTTGTCCCATGGAGCAGTTGGTAGATTTGAACCACATGCCTTTGGTATATAGCAGTGCAGCTCCTTTCCACTCGTGACCAGAGCTGCTTTGCTAGACTCCAGTTTAGTGTAAATCTGTTCTATATGCTCCAACAAAAACGCACAGCCCCCGCCATCGGGTCTGCTTGGCCCCAGCACCCCTCCCGCCCTCTGTCAGGTTCCCAAGGATGGGAGGCTGTGACTAGAGGAGACCCTGCATCGCTCTAGCACAGACCAGCTTGTAGGTTTGAGCCCCTGAGACATGGCTCTTGGGTCAGCAGTGTCTTCTTGTTAGGTGCCATCATGTCTCCTGGGACTCTTAGTGACCATATGGACCTTAGCTCTGAACCCTGCCCTGTCCTGAGCCAATCTCACTTCTCCGGCAGACCCAGTCCCATTGCTTCAGTCACTGAGTCAATGCATCTCATCCGGGGTCTTCCTCCCCTACGCTGTCCCTCCACCCTTCCAAGCACGATGTCCCTCTCCAAGGACTGTCCCTCCTGGCCGCATACCCAAAGTATGTGAGATGGAGCCTCAAAATTCTTGCCTCAGGCTGTTTCACCCCCTCCAGATGGACAGACTCGTTTGTTCTCCTGGTAGTCCACAGGATGTTCAACACTCTTCTCCAGCACAATTCAAAGGCACTGACCCTTCTTCTATCATCTTTAGTGATTGCCCAGCTCTCTGATGTAATTGCAAAGACCGTGGCCTAGATATGGCAGTTGTGCAGACTGGGTTTAGAAGAGGCTGTGGCACTAGGGACATCACAGCCAACGTTAGATGGATCTTGGCTGCAAGTAGAGAGTACCAGAGGAGTATCTATCTGTGTTTCTTTGACTGTGCAAAGGCATTTGATTGTGTGGATCACAACAAATCGTGGCCAACCTTAAAAATAATGGTGATCTCAGAACTCTTAATTGTGCTTGTGCAAAACCTATGGTTGGACCGGGAAGCAGTTCTCAGAACAGAGCGAGGAAGCACTGCTTGGCTCAGCACCATTGAAGCAGTGTGTCAGGGATGTGTCTTATATCCATACTGTTCAAGCTTTATGCAGAACAGATCATAAAGCTGGACCTTGTGAAGAGGAATGTGGCATCAGGACTGAAAGAAGATTTATCACCATCATTCAGATGATACAGCCTTGCTTGCTGAAACTTAAGGAGACCTGAGGCCTTTGCGGCAGAAGGTCAAGAACTGTAGTCTTCATTTTAGACTGAAGTTCAACATCAAGAAAACAAAGATTCTCACCACTAGGCCTATTAGCAGCTTCATAACAGACAGAGAAGAGATTGAGATTGTTGATAACTTCAGCTTGCTTGGTTCCACACTCAACACTCTTGGCACCAGCAGTCAGGGAATCAAAAGACGAATTGCGTTGGGAAAGTCTGCTGTCAGGGACGTCTCCAGTGTCTTAGGCACTGTGGATTCGGAAAGTCTGCGCACCCCTTGGCTAGGATCTTTGCTTTCTCGTGACCACATGCAGCCGCCTGCAGTGCCCCTGAGGTGACTTGTAACAGATTGCTTGGCTAACCGAAAGGCCAGCAGTTGGAATGCCCAGTGTCTCTCAGGTAGAATATTGGGCAGTCTCGGACCGTGAGTGTCTGCACACCCTAGAGCCCAGTGGAAGGCCAGTACGAGTCCAAACACGCAGGACAGCAGTGAGTCCTTTGCGTGTGGCGAGGGGAAGGAGTGGGGCTCAGAACCAGGCAGAGTGATTCCAGCCCCCCATCGGCCACAGACACACTCGGTGCGTGCCGTCTGGTTTCTGCTGTCCCATCCCAGCATCATTGGCTTCTGTCCAGGGCCTGCAACCGGCCTGAGTTGGAGCTTCTTAACTGGCTCATACGTTCACCCACAGTGGACAGTCCACACTGGGTCCTCAGCTCCAAGCTCAGTGGGAGCGGAAGGGGATGGAG